CTCAAAAATACAGTTCTCTCTCTGTGTGTGTGTGTGTTTAAAGCGATGTCCTTTTATCTAATCTTTGTTATGCCCACAGATCTCTGCACACATTCATTTATTGCCAGTTCCTGTATTGAGAAGCAACCAGAGAACGCACATTTTACATTTCTGCCACTTCCAACAGCCACATCATTTGGGTATCATTGGAGGACGGTGACACAAAACACACTCTGTGCAAAAAAGAGTGTGAGTGAGTGGTTGGATGTGTGTGTGTGAGTGAGTGAGTGAGAGAGAGAGAGATGTCATGTTCGTGGATAGATGTACCTCTGAAATGGAACGGACAGAGGAAAAAGAAGGAATGGGAAACAAAGAGAATGAGTGACACCAAAAAGAATTACATTTTTTTTTAAGGGTTGAGATTCTGGCATGTTTAAAACCACCCTGACCTAAATGAATCCTATCAACAACAGGCCTCAGGCATTACTTAAGACAGTTTGAGTCCAGAAGGTGGAAGCCGATCAGAGCTTGCAATAATACCGAATGCTTAAATGAGGCTCACTTTTACAAGGTGTGCTTACACACACACACACACCCACACCCCAGTTTCACAAGCACATGGTGTGGTACACAGGGGCGGAGGAAGGGGGGTGCGGTGGGTGCAGTCCATCCTGGGTGTCACCACTGGGGGGATGTGTGTGTGACAAAATGCTGGGTGGCACTCACTGCGGGGCCTGCAGTGCGCCCGAACCACACATCTCTCCTCAGAGAGATACAGTGGCTTGGGTGCGTGCAGGCTTCGCGCTGCCCAAATGGTCCGCCCGCTGCCTCTGCCCCAGCTGTAGGGCAGCTGAGTGGGAGGAGGCAGGCAGACTCCAGAGGCCCCATGGTGCACCCCACCCCTATGGGTGGCTCGCCCTGCCCCTTAGCGCACCGCCCCAGGTGCCCAAGCGGTTTCCTCCGCCACTGGTGGTACACCCAGACAGCAGCTGTATGACATGACACTATAATGCTCAGCTTTCCCCCTCATTTTTTTTAAAAAATGAATGTTTAATGTTTTATTATATTTTTATATATGTTGGAAGCTACCCAGAGTGGCTGGGGCAACCCAGTGTATAAATGGGCAGTGTATAAATTAATAATAGTAATTAGTATATTGTTATTATTATCATTATTATTATTGAATAGGACGACCCTATTTTCACTGGAGATATGTTGGAGGGTATGAACTCACCTACAAGGAAAGGTTACAACATTTTGAGGGGGGGGGTTGCAGTTTAGAAAGGCGGCAAGTAAGGAGGGCTGCTTGAATGAGATGTACAGAGGTACCTCTGGTTGCGAACGGGATCCGTTCCGGAGTCCCATTCGCAACATGAAAAGAACGCAACCTGCAGTGGCGCATCTGCAATTCGCTGCTTCTGCACATGTGCGTGACATCATTTTGCGCTTCTGGGCATGCGCCAGCAGCGAAACCTGGAAGTAACCCTTTCCGGTACTTCCAGGTCGCCGCGGTATGTAACCTGAAATAACGTAACATGAAGTGGATGTAACATGAGGTATGACTGTATAAAATTATGTGGTGGCCCCCAACCTGAATTATGTGGTGGTGGTGGCCCCCAACCTCCACTGTTGGAGACCATATTCCTCTAGGTACAGTCATACCTCATGTTATGTCCGCTTCATGTTACGTTCTTTCAGGTTACGTCCCGCGGCGACTCGGAAGTACCGGAAAGGGTTACTTCCGGGTTTTGCCATTTGCGCATGCCCAGAAGTGCAAAATGATGTCACGCACATGCGCAGAAGCAGCGAATCGAAACCCGTGCGTGCACAGATACGCCACTGTGGGTTGCGCTCTTTTCATGTTGCGAACGGGCCTCCGGAACGGATCCCGTTCACAACCAGGGGTACCACTGTACTAGTTTCTGGGAACCAGAATTGGGGGGAGTGCTGTTGCAGTCTGGGGCTGCTTGTGGGCTCCTCATGCGCCTTTGATTGGCTACTGTGTGAAAAGGATGCTAGGCTAGATGAGCCTTTGGTCTGATTCAGCAGGTGTCTTCTTTTGTTCTTATACATATCTCTTAATCTGATCATAATCCAGATCCTTTTTTGGGTTAAGGGGAGTAGCAAAGTACCTCCCCCCCCCCAAAAATGTGGTAAGCAAACTAACACCCACCATACGCTGAACACAGCTTTCATACCTTTTCAGTAGAAAAAAAGAAACCATAAGCAATCAGACCCTCTGAAAATAAAGACGAGGAAATGCATATATCCCCTTAATATGTGCATTTTTTGTGTGCATTTGCCAAATGTTGTTTCAAAAGAATGTAAAGAAAACTGCTTACGAGAAGAGAATCTTATAAAAATGATAATTAACTTTTAAAAAGTATCACATCCTGTGCTCTATTATCTTTGTACCGGAGAGGAACATTGAACCAAGGAGGGACTGAAAAAGAAAAATCCTTAATCATCAGCTAACTCTTCAGAGTAAAATGCTAATACTCTAACTGCTTAGGAACCATAACTGCATTCCTTCTGAAGCAAATCAGTGTGATCTCATCATAACAGTATTGAATAAAATTGGGATGTTCCTTAATTTCACTGTCTTACATATCTCGCAACGTATGGGTAGACCACCTGCAGCACAGGTGCCTCAAGTGGCAAAATACAGCCCTCCAATTCTGGCTTTGCTTCACATCAATAGTTTTTGCTTAGCTGAAATGTACCTGCTTTTATCTTATTTTGTAGGGAGTTGGCCCATCCCCACTAACCACTATACCACACTGTCTCTCTGTGGCCAGCCTAGCAGCATCCAGTTCTGTAGACATCAGCTGCAGACACCTGGGCTCACCTGAACTCCTTGCCAAACCTCTTGCTGATAGCCTGGCTTTTCAGCAACTGAAGTTGTTTGCATAAAAGGCATCACCTTACCAACATTGTCTCTCATTCTTTTAGACGGAGCACATCAATAACAACCTCTGCTGTTCCATCCCAAAGCGTCAGCTTGCCATCTGTAGCAAAGTGTCCATTGATGGATTTATGCTGGATAAATGACCCGGAAATGACATCTATTTACTACCTTGTCTTCTTTCGGGTTGATGTAAAGATATAGCTCAAAAACAGCCGTATATCTTGCAGCCAGGACACATTGTGCCTAATGCCATCTATCTACCTATGAAGATGTATGAGAGAATGTTTGCTAAGCACGTTAATGTTTCGGATATTCACATAGCATCCTTTTATCTCTGTCTTTATGGTACAATAGGGATGTGATTTGAATTTCCTGAGCGACTGAAACAATACGAATCCAGCCCCACCACAGAACGTGAACAAAAAACAGATGGAGACAATAATCTTTAGCAATTGCTTCCTTGCCCAGTTCATTCGGGACCATGAGAATAGACTGTTTTATACACTAATCTTAAAGGAAACTGTCAGAAAGGCTTTTTTTTATTTTTACGAAAACAAAACAGCAACACATGAAGCCCTAGGTAATGACTTCCCATCAGCAGGAAGGAGGTAGCAATCAACCTGTTTGTCTTTAAGGGGCTGAAAAAGAGACGTTGCAAAATGCATGCTGACGTGGATTCCTCGCCACCCCTACCCCGTTCCAATCTGTGGCTCGAAATTCACAGAGCAAACTCCTAATTGGCAAACGTTCATCATTCCAGCAACTATTTATGTCTTGTTCTGATTCAGTGCAACATTTATTCCCTTGCTTGACTCCATGCGAGGGAAGTGAGCTTCTGGGAAGCACTTCTTCATATGATTGCCCGGGCAGGATTCTCTGGGGACGTTGTGGGGTTTTCTTTGGTGCCTGGATAGAGTGTTTGTAACAGGTCCTGTGTGTCTGAGGTAGAGGGGCCTCCCCTTGCCTCATGGGTAGAGCGGTCCTACTCAGAAGGGGCCCTCACCTGTCTGTGCCACCACTTATGGCCCTCCCCGCTAAGGAGTCCGATTTAATTTTAAAGAAAACTTACTAATTTTTAAATCACCCATTTTTACTCACCTTGCTATAAGACAGCTCCTTGTTCATCGATATTGGGCCTTAGAGCAGATCAGGAATGGTAGAAGGTGGTTTCAACAGTGTTGTGCTTTATACTGGTACAGAGAGCCATGAATCCCCCAAGAGATTTGAGAAGATTGTATTCACCCCTGATCCCTAAAATAGGCATCTTATGCTTATTATGAGTCCCCAGTGGGTGGTTGAAGAAATGAAGTATCTTGATCTCACTTGTATCAAATCCAGGAGCATGCCCAATGCTGGAAACATGAGTGACCAGTTAGAATGGGAGCTCTCCAGGTGAGGGAAACTCTTACGACAGTGGTTATCATGTGTGCTCCTGGCCTGATGCATACTTTATAGGTCTGTGGTTTAAGAAGAGAAGAAGAGAAGAGTTTGGGTTTGATATCCCGCTTTATCACTACCCTAAGGAGTCTCAAAGCGGCTAATATTCTCCTTTCCCTTCCTCCCCCACAACAAACACTCTGTGAGGTGAGTGGGACTGAGAGACTTCAAAGAAGTGTTACTAGCCAGTGTGGTGTAGTGGTTAAGAGTGGTAGTCTCGTAATCTGGTGAACCAGGTTCGCGTCCCCGCTTCTCAACATGCAGTTGCTGGGTGACCTTGGGCTAGTCATACTTCTTTGGAGTCTCTCAGCTCCACTCACCTCACAGAGTGTTTGTTGTGGGGGAGGAAGGGAAAGGAGAATGTTAGCCGCTTTAAGACTCCTTCGGATAGTGATAAAGTGGGATATCAAATCCAAACTCTTCTTCTCTTCAAGGTCACCCAGCAGCTGCATGTGGAGGAACAGAGACGCGAACCCGGTTCACCAGATTACGAGTCTACCGCTCTTAACCACTACACCACAAAGGCTCTCTTTAAGCCTTTATTTGCTTCCTTTCTACCCATTGGTGACCCATTATACTGTTTTTAAGGTTTTAAAACATTGTGGAAGAGCAAACAAAAATATAACGAAAACCAAACACAGCAGCAAGATTTAAGTGACAGCAGCAGACAAACTGAGCCAGGCATTGTTTACCTCAGTTGGTAGAGCCTGAGACTCTTAATCTCAGGGTTGTGGGTTCGAGCTCCATGGTGGGCAAAAAGATTCCTGCATTGCAGGGGGTTGGACTAGATGACCCTCGTGATAGACTTTCAAGTCTACAGTTCTATGATTATTTTATTTTGGGCTATTCAAGAGGATCCCCAAAGACTTTATGGGGTGCAAGGGAAGGTCTTAAGCAGCCAGTTCCTAGAAGGCCCTTCGGAGCCAGACACTGTGGACAGTAGTCACTGCGGACTATTTACCTGTAATGTGGGCCATTTCCCTAATAAAAGTTGTGCCTGGAAACATTGCCACTGACTATTAAGAAAGTTTCAAGTCATCCTTCCCACTCCCGTTCCTTCCCTTTTCAAACATACGCAACACAACCTTGTCTAACTATCATTAAAGTGCTGGTCTAGGGCTGACATTGATGCTGAAATCCAGCATTGCCTCAGCTCTGCGAGTGCAGCTTTCTCCCGATTGAAGTGCAGAGTGTTTGAGGACCAGGACATTCACAGGGAAACCAAAATGCTTGTTTACAAAACTATTGTACTGCCAACCTTACTGTATGCTTGTGGAACGTGGACTACTTATAAATGCCATCTCCAATTCCTCAAAAGATTCCATCAACAGTGTCTCAAAAAAAATTTACATATTACTTGGGAAGACAGGTGAACTAATGCCAGTGTACTGGAAGAAGCCAAGATCACCAGTGTCGAAGCAATTATCCTTCAATATCAACTTTGTTGGACTGGTCATGTTGTTTGGATGGCTGATTCCAAACAACTACTCTATTCCAAACTTAAAAATGGAAAGCGTAATGTTGGTGGTCAACAAAAGAGGTTTAAAGACTCTCTCAAGGCAGATCTAAAAAAATGTAGTACAGTCGTACCTCAGGTTACATACGCTTCGCTAACCCAGAAATATTACCTCGGGTTAAGAACTTAGCTTCAGGATGAGAACAGAAATAGTGCAGCAGCGGTGCAGTGGCAGCAGGAGGCCCCATTAGCTAAAGTGGTGCTTCAGGTTAAGAACAGTTTCAGGTTAAGAACAGACCTCCAGAACGTATTAAGTTCTTAACCCGATGTACCACTGTATAAACACCGACAACTGGGAAACACTGGCCTGCGAGCGCTCCAATTGCAGAACAGCCTTTACCAAAGGTGTCTTGGGCTTTGAAGACGCTCGAATTCAGGACGCAAGAGAGAAGTGTGCTAAGAGGAAGGCACACTTGGCAAACCCTCACCATTATCAACTCCCACCTGGAAATCTATGTTCCCACTGTGGAAGAACTTGTGGATCCAGAATTGGCCTCCACAGTCACTTACGGACCCACTGTTAAAACCGTTTATGGAGGACAATCTTTCTTAGCTATGAGTGATCGCCAAGGAAGCTGATCTAAAAGAAGCAGAATGGCAAGTTTGTGAATGCTGTAGAACTGCAGCTTAGAAGCAGTTTGGGGGTGAATTTGGCAAAGTCAGCTGTCATGTTTCTAGTGCATTTGCTGACTGCACATGGCGGGAGGTCACATCACCCAGGGTTGCCTTTTAGTAGATGGTTTTGGGATTAAATTAAGTCCCAGAAGAATGTACTAAGTGTCGAGCAGTGCAGAACTAATTTAGCATTCTGAAGTTGCAGTTGGCCTGCGAAGAAGTTTTAAACATTCCAATATCTTGAATGAGACTTTAATATTTAACTCAGTGACCCCATGTGGTTCTGGACGCTCCATCAGCAACTCCCACCACACTTCATAATCTTGCCGTCCTCATGAAGGTTTCATAAGCATAAAGAGAAAGCACATCTTTGGTTCAGAAACTGTAAGCTTGTCTGGGCAGGGACCTCGCACTTTTACGCTCCTGCAAACACCAGAAGCGTCTTGGGCACCCTCTAAATATTGAATGCTGACAACAATAATGGATGAGGAGCTGAAGCTGAAATGCATTGAAGGATATAAACTACAGGACCAAGGTTACTTAACAAAAGCTATAATTCATAATTCATTGTGTGGTTTTTCAGAACAGAACTCCAAAAGGGAAGAAGTTTTTGAAGCTTACGAAACCAGTCAAGTAAAATGTGCAATACAGAACAAAGATGATTTTCTAATTATAGGGCAAGAGACTGTGTGTGGTGTTCTTGGGAAGCCAGAAGGCACAGGAGAAAAACTGAATAGGGTTGAAAATCATAGAATTGTAGAGTTGGAAGGGACCACAATGGTTATCGAATCCAACCCTCTGCAATGCAGGAATCTTTTGCCTAGTGTGAGGCTCAAACCCATGACCCTGGAATTAAGAGTCTCATGCCACCACTTTGAGTATGTTATGCTATAATCTAGTATGTGTACTGATGGTGCTGTCAGTAATCATAATCATGATAATGGGAGAGTGTATACAGTGGTACCTTGGGTTAAGTAATTACCGTAATTCGTTCCGGAGGTCCGTACTTAACCTGAAACTGTTCTTAACCTGAAGCACCACTTTAGCTAATGGGGCCTCCTGCTGCCGCTGTGCCACCAGAGCACGATTTCTGTTCTTATCCTGAAGCAAAGTTCTTAATCTGAAGCACTATTTCTGGGTTAGCGGAGTCTGTAACCTGAAGCGTATGTAACCTGAAGAGTATGTAACCTGAGGTACCACTGTATTGCATTTGTATTGTGACGCTCACTGAACCTTTATGGCCAAGAAAGGTTGCAAATGGAATGAATGCGAGAGTATACATATTTAACCAAGGCAGTTCTTCCAAACTGTGAATGAATGAATGAGTGAGTGAGTGAGCAATCTTTACTGGAATCACAGAGGATTGATTTTCTTTTCCTTTTTCTTTTTTTTTGGGGGGGGGGTATGAGGTAAATGTAAAGCTTGAAAACAACCTTCCATTGATTTTTTTTATTTTAGTTCATAGCAAAAGTATTGGGATTGCTCACAAAAGGACAGAGGCTTCAAGCAGACTTGGAAGCATGGAAGGATTTCTTGACATCAGTAAAGCACGAACCGAGAAAGAAAGACAGAGAAAGAGATAAAGGATGAAAGGAGGTTTCTCGATCACCTGACTTTGCCAGGCTAAGAGAGCAGAGCAAATGAGAGAGGAATGGAACAGAAATTGGGTGAACTTTATATAGAAGCTTGATGGGAGACAAAGGCATCATACGAAAAGCAGACCCCAAAGCAACAAATAAAAACCCTTATGTACAGTTTTATTAACCTTCAGATAGATATACCACATCTCTGACACAGACTTAGTTAGAGTTCCCCTCGTGAGTAAAGAGTTTACATTTTATTTTTGACAAAGAAGACAGCAAGTGTCTCAGCAGCGGCTGGTGGGGGACTGAACTTACAAATGCATGCCAGAAGGACAACATTTTGTCGTCCCCAGGAAACAGGTACACACACACACACACACACACACAGCCAGTTTCATTGGCAACCAGATTCTACTACAGATACTACCCATTCTTTTTTTTTTTGCATGATAAATTTTTATTGATATTTATACATATATACATATAAACCTATACAAGATCCAATACTTAAGTTACGCATAATATATCCATTCCATAAATCATAAGTACATTCAGATACTACCCATTCTTGACTGGCCACAAGTCATGTGTGGGTAAATATTTGGGTAAGTTTATTTTTCACCAAAGAGAAATGGACCAGGCATTTAAAATTGGGTAAGAAGGGAAAATGTCTACTGTCTCTGCAACTGTAAAAGAACTTTGCGAAATATTAGGTTACTTCCACACCCTGCTAAGTTCCTCTGCAACTAGGCATCCTTTATTGACTGATTGCTAATGAAACAGCCAGACAGCATTCCTGTCAGATTGTTACACTCCAGTGTTTACTGTGCTCTGTGATTTCTTCTTCCCAGAACTGGTTTTTGTTTCTTTGTTTTTTGTAATAAAAGACAAGTGTGGACAGGCAAAGTACTATTCTCAAGGGTCAAATATTTTTACATTAAACACTTTGGGTGGTGTTCAACTGAGTTTTACTCAGAATTGATCCACGTGAAATTAATGAACATGGCTGATCTAGGTCGATTAATTTCAATAGTAAAACTTGCTTAAATGCAACCCTTTCTCTTTGCAAATTCAGACCATTTTATTGCTCCCTGTAGTTCCTGAGTGGGAGATTTGAAAGCTGGTATCAGTACATATTTTTCAAACCTGGTACCATCTGTATTGCATTCAGATTGCTCTTACATTTGTGTGTTGTTGCTTTAAACTGCCCTGGGTGCCTTGGAAGAAAGGCAGGATATAAATGCAAAGAATTGTATGTGTGTATCACATGCATACATATATACACAATTGTTTTTATATGCAAATGTTTAGCCATCTTTACTTACGCAGTTGTTCTGTGTATGTTTTTACTGCATTGTAAATAGCTTTGGGATGTCTCAAGGGCAGTGGTTAATAAGAAATAATAATAATAATAATAATAATAATAATAGTTAAGTTGTGGGTGAACATATCAGACGACACAGCGATTCTTCAAACAGCTCTTGTTTATTCACAAAACAGAACTGAACTGAAGGGTTCAGCCAGCCTACTTATATAGAGCTCCACTACAACACAACAGTAACAACTTTCTTTAACTATCAAATCACTGAACGTCACTTTCAATTCCTTATTTGAATATGTGGACCTGAGTGAAAACTATCTACAGTATCCCCCTGCTGGCCCAGGGTGAGAACTTCAGTACATAACAATAATAATAATAAATAATGTGATAAAAACTCAATAACAAAAAACAACGAAATGTGTGCATAAACTCCCTTGTTATCTTGTGCCCTTTCTCTTTCCCTTTGCAGCCAGCAAACTCTTAGTGTATTAAAACTGAGGCTCACACCCTACAGGGGTGGGGCCAGAGCACCCACTTTGAATCCACAAAGCCTCAAGGTCATTCTGCACCAATCAGAAGGCTCAGTTAGCAGGAGATGGTAAAGACCTTCTGCTGAAAACTTAAAGAGCAGTTGCCAGGTGGGCAAGACGGACAACTAGGCTGACCTAGTTATAGAGCAGTTCTCAACATTTTATTTAATCACACTTACAAAAATGACAT